ATTATTGTAAAATTACGCGCATTGCCAAAATTAATAGAAATTAAAACAGATATATAAATCTGTATTTATTCATATCATCTTGAGGTTGATTTTTTTTCTATCCAAATAATGAATTGAATCGACAATGCATGTCTATAAATGCAAATACACACTCGCAAAGAAAAAAATTGAAGGTATTATTCGGCATGCAATGCCATACTTTGGAAGATGGAGTAATACCAACTCCATTATCAACATCAAAAAAGAATGATAATGATGATGATACGATAACCTAAGATTCATTTCTCCATTTGTTTCTCATGATAATGATTCGCCATTCTCAATTCTTGGGTCCATCGCATAAATCTGTGTATACATTCTCACGAGTGAATCATAGCCCATTTTATCTCCACAACGAATTAAATTTGCTTGAAAATAAATAATAAATGTAAGTTGATTATTCCCTGTAACATAAATCAATAATCTATATAGAATACATACCTGCATCACAATTCAAAGGACTGTTTGGTTCAGGAGTCGACAGTAGCAATCGAATCGCCATGCAAGCGGATTGTAACGTCCATGCAGGACTCCACGCCGATTTCAAAATATCCAGGCATATTTCGCCGGTCTGTAAAAATGCAATCCAATGAATAAGATGAAGAATAAAAAAAAATGCGTGCTTTTTTTTCTTACCCTCCAAGAGATGTTCGGATGGCAAATTTTTGTTACAAACTTGATTTTTGGCGGGTGAATAGGGTATGACTTTGGTACATCAATTCGAAGTTTCCAAAAACCACCTATCAATTGCAATTTTTATTTTTAAAGCAGAGAGTAAATATACAAAACAGAGACTATTACAGAATTAAATTAAATAAAAATATTCATGCCTTCATACGGTGTATCATTTTCCCCGCGAAGAACTGCTCGCCAAACGAGAATATCGTCATCTTGGGTAGGTGCTAATTCTACCAAATCAGGGTTGGGTTCTTTTTGAAAGTCTCTTAATTCTTTTAACAGTCGTCGAGTGACCGCGTCTGCCATGTCGCTTATGGTTTAAAAGCTTTGAATGGTTTGTAAGAGATCTGAACGGTTAAATAATTAAACGGTTCGTGCACACCATGTAACACGTGGAGAGATCCCTATCTAAGTGAAAGAGTATCCTAGACTGGGGGGATACATCATAATGTTGATATATGCGCGATGCTTTTAAACTTCTAATATAATTGATCCAAACCTTAATAAGAACTGATTTCTATTAATAACATTCGTCACTATATATTATTTACATGTTACAGATTTAATCCAACAACATGAATTTAACAACAGTTCCTCTAAATCGGGGGGCTTAGGGAAACAAGAAAAAAAATTCAAATTCTTGCCCAATTTTGGTAAAGCTTTGATCAAAAGATATTGGATGGAATTAGTACCTTGCAAGATACTGTGTTAGATAATTGTGCATTTTCTTAGCCTTCATACTTTCCTTTTTGATAAAACTTGTGACACAATTTTATTCATCATCATCATCCCGTCAACTTGCGGCTCATCATGAGTAGAAATTATACACTTTAATAATAACAGATACAACAATATTATTTTTACTAATATTATTAATATTATTATTGTTATTATTATTATTATTATTATTTTAACGTTAATCTTTTAAGCCGGTTTTTTTGGACGTAATTTTCATTACACAAATAAGTTATCATAATTATGACTTGTGCCATTTAATCTCTTAATGTCTTTCACTTTTGTTTCTAATTCTAAATACAACGATCTTATCTTCTTTTTCTTGGGCTTTGATTGATTTGATCCCTTGCTCAAACGGAATACTTTTGTGTGTCTGTCTGGCTCCTATAATTCTTCACTCTTTCCCTTGCTCGGGTTTCTCACACTTACGCCTGTCTCGTAAATTAATCTTACACTTTGTTTACTACCTCCTACCACACCACCCCACCATCCGTTATAGTTGTATATAGTGTATATATTTCTGGGGTCACCAGCCCGTCCGGTGTATACACTCGCATATTTTACTATTTACCTAAAAAAGACCTTTTTTTCTTCGTGGTAGACATCAAAATATAACGTAATAGAAAAAACTTTTTTGTTCTTTAGATTTTTGATAGACTTTTGTTCTATAATATTTTGCACGTTCATTTTTTCACACACCCAAACGGGAATAATATCCAAAAACCAAGACGTAAATTTACTACGTCCTCTCGTTCTCCCTATTACTTTTTGTTTGGGTGATTACTATTAGTATAGAGAAAACACTTTGTATATGTGTGTGCGTGTGTAGCGATTCGTGCACGACCTCTTGTATTTTTTCTAAACCTGTACGATACTATTTATTTGTGTAGCAACAGAGTCTTCTGTAAAGGTAACCAATAACAACAAAAAATAGTTTCTTTTCTGATAATATTTCTTCAGAATATAGCGCGCAGTGTTTGTCCTGCTCCTTTACGACTTTTTAATGACAGTTCGGCCGACCTTTGCTAACTCTCGTTTTTTTATTCGTCATTAACTTATTGCCTTCTCTCTACCA